CTGAACCCCCGTCATTCTTCTCTCATTCTAAACGGCGGTCTCGGTGTGACTGTGACTTGACAGCCTTTCAACGTCTATCTCGGGTATGGTCAGCTCGTCTGGGTTGTTATCGGCGTATTCAATGCTGCTCGTCTGCGAGAGCCGCTTGCTTAAGGACGACTGTTTTCTCAGTACCTCCGCCAATGTAGTGCTGCTGTGCTCGCTCGTGTAGCGCGCGTCTAGGCCCTGCCGAAATGCGTTCACTACGCGGATCTGTAACCGGAAACCTTTCTGTCAATACAGGGCCTTCGTGTCCCTGGCAGTGCCACGAGCTTTGGGAGAAATGCACCGTTAGATAATCCACTTAAGGTAATGGAGGTTGATCCTCTATCCTATTGTTCCCATCGACATTTCTCTTTTTTTTTCATTTTTATAATTCTCAAAATTATCTTAATTTGCTTCTGTTATAGCACGAGAAATACATTATTGGAGACACATGGAGAATTTACAAGAATCAGCGAGTGAATAGTTGACGGTAGTATTGGTCAGTTAGTCCTTCACTGATGATTTTGGTATTAACGATTTTACTTTTTCCCAGGATTTTCAAGCGACGAATGCCGATGGGAGAATGCACGTGGCTTAGAAGCAACACTAAGTGATTAGCATTGAAAAGCATAATACTCAAACCAGTTATAGTAACCGTATGGTGTCTCAGGTAAATCTTTTTCACGATTCTTTAAGGGATAAGATGATCAACCTCTGCAAAACAGATTAGGGAACAGTCATGTAGATATATAAATATAATTATGTGTATGTATAAAAAGACAGAAAGCAGCGGCCACACGAATTACTAGAAGAACTAGCGGGGCGTTGATACCCTGCACAGCAAGGCAATAGTAGACAACAGAATTTGAAGAGCGACGTCGGTGGTGTCGAAATCTTTTTTGACAGGTAAATTTGTTAAAGTTAATACACTGATCTGTTTGTGATAGATTTTTTAATTATTCCGAAATTTCATTTCTTTTTCTCTTTTTGTAGGAAGATAATTTTACGACCCATAGACGTCACCATTTCAAATTATAATTGCAATGTCACGCAACACCACATGCACTCGTTGATCGCCAGAGTCCTCCACTAAATCTCTTCCCACATCGGATTCTCGTGAGAACAAGATCAATTATCGTTTCAGACACACACGATCATCGATGCAAAAAGCGGATATGCGAGGCTTAAAGCTTTCCACGTTTCCTCAAACTTACTCTAGACATAATTTCGACTCCGCCTATTAAAGAACTCTTTTTCCAAAAAGTACAAAAAGTAACTTTTGAACTTTTTACACGCTATGCCAAATAAGCCAGCGCAAATGCTACATTTTGGCAGATACATATTATTCAAATTACACGCGACTGGAAGCTAGTATTATGTTTAATACCAAACAATGAAAAAAAGAAAAAAAAGATCAAAATTCCACGCATATACACTTGCATCGTCTGGTGAGCTGTAATACAGCGTGACAAATTGCAGACTGCAAGAATTTAGCATGCATTGGCGTAATATCCGAAACCGATGAACATTGCTATATTCAAATCAGCCAAGAAATTTACTTCCGGATGAAAAAAGAACAATCCCCATCCGGAAACACCCGCGTCTTTATTCTTATTTATTTTTCCATATTTTTCTCGGTGCGCACGCATTCACGCACGCACGCACACACGCATGTACACACGCATACAAATACGCACGCACGCACATAAAGTAAATCTCTTTCTTTTTTCTTCCTTCCTTTCTTGCATTTTCATGGAGGTGGCAGGAAAATGTGTCGCGTTAACAAGTCATTTTATATATAAAAAGTTTTTTTTTTTATGCGCCGTGGAGAGAGGTCCCCTAACCAGGCTGACAGTCAGACTCTTTAACCTGGTCGAATATCCGGTTTAGATAATGCATCTCTCTGGTACTTTAAACATGCACGCTACACCGCGCAATGCGCTCTTCTGATAAACAATTCTGCACTTCACAGGGAGACAACGGTCATCCCACAAAAATTTGTTCATCTTTTTTCAGTTCGTCATTTTTCTTTCACTTCTAAACAACTTACAGAGCGACACACGTGATCTGGTGATTCCCCGCTTCACGAACGACGCGGCTACCCTCTCTACTTTCACGAACGAATTATAGAGACACATACATACACATACGCACAATCAATTTACTTCTTCTTTAAGTTGGTACAAATAATTGGGGTGAGAATTAATTATTGTTGCTTTTTGTTCGTTACGAAAATTAGAAAGAATTAGTCCGATGATAATATCACTTTCTAGCTTATCAACGGCTGATAAAAGGCAACTAAATTTCGGAGGGAAGTCGCATCAGTCGTGCTACGAGGATCAAAGTACGTATACAGATTTATCAGAAAATACAGAGAGAGAAGGTGAATGGTGATAAAGAGAAGCAAAGAAAGATCATTAATCCATCACGGAATGAAAAAAGGCCTTAATACGCTATCAAAGATCACCGGAAAGGTATTAAAATGTATCACGTATCATTCGACCACACTTTAAATTATTCAATATAAAAACACATACACACTCTTCTACGAACCAACACAGACGATATCTCGTACTACAAACGTGTATCTTAGCTCTTTTTTATTTCCACGCTCAATCGGTACCGAATATCGACAGAGAAAAAACTAGTTCTTTTTCTATGCAATTCGACTATGAAATTGTCTTTGAAGCTAACCATAGAGTTAAACTTGATAATAACTCTAAGAATCTGTCACAGGAGCCTCCAAAAGTCCGTCAACTTGCATCGACAAAGGTATTTAGCGTCACGAAAGAGGACACACATAATCGCACATGGCGTTGCTAGAAACTGTAATTTGAACGTATGATATTTCGTGTATAAATCTCGGGTTAAGTTTGGATTAGGTCCTAAACCTACGACCAGAAATATGGTCATTTAGAAAAAATGTTATTATAAGTATTAAAAACTTATGATACAGTCGTAATGCATGGAACAATAGTAACGTGCCTGCGAACACGACGTGGATCGTGTGATAAGAATTGGAAACAAATGTTCCTTAAAATGTCTTTCTAACACATAGTACACTTTTCTCATAAAGCTTCAACGGGATAACTTATTAAATAATACCATATTAATAAATGATATCCGAAGATACTATCCGTTCGATGTACATTGATTTAGTTCTTTGTATACATCGAGGTATACATCGAAGTATGCTTTAACACCAATTTTCATTGGTACAAGGATACATGTCCAGATTGGAACAACTGTTGGAAATAGTGATAAAATACGCGAACCACGTCGTATCATAAATGCAAAAGTATCATACTACTCGCTTGCATGTAAGCATAGTTAGCCGAAGGATCAGCAAAATATTCATTAAGTACAAAAAAGGGCACCCTCAAAGGTCGTCAGGGCAGAAAATGCTACTGATTACAGCAGATTTGTCAAGAGAGACATAGAAATGCTCCCTGAAATAAGGGAAATATTCCCTATCCAATTGATTGATTCTATTCAATTCGATCGATTGAGCCAAGCCTATTATCGATCTATCTCAACAAGAAATCTTGTTTCGATAAAAAAGCAAATAAATTTATCAAAATAGAATTTTCGGATATGATTAAAAAATTCACTAGATTATTTTCCTAGAAAATCTTTAACGACACTTTCCGATATATTCATAGTTGTAGCTACTTTCTACATATCTTTTGCTTTATGCAATTATTTATTAATTGCTGTTTTTTATCGAAACTTAAAAAGCTAATTAACGTATCGTAATTTTTTTTTTTTCGTTTTCCAAGAGACAAAGAAAGATAGGGTAAAATCGTGTAAGACGAAGTAAGAGAGCACAAAAATGCAGCGTGCCGCTGAAAATGTTGGGAGAAATTATCCATCTATCGATAAGCGATCGTATATTTTAGACACCAGTGATGATTTTTGATCACATTTATCGCAAAATATAATTTAAACGAAGAATTGGACCCTCGATTTTTTCGACAATTTGGTAACAATTATTCTTACATGCAAACTGTGCTAAACGATTCACAAAACTGCCACTAGTCAAGTTAAAACTATGCTAGATGTAAGATAAATACAGCAGCTGATAGTTTTACGGCTAAAACTAACGAAGACGTGGTACTACATTTTTATGTTATTTTACAGGTAAATCAACGAAGCAGGAACGTAGTACGACGTGTAACACCGTATGCTTCTAATTATTTACAAGCCTAGCTGAGCGAAATTTGGAATATGGTTTACGAAAGGTAACCTTGAAATTTGGAACATGATTTACGAAAGGTAACCTCAAACTTCTAATGTCTAAAAAATTATAAAATAATCATCGACTCGTAATCAAATATCACCAGGTGTCGAGATTCACGAAAAGGAAGAAATAGTTTGAGAAACAGAGAAGCAGCAGATAAACAAAAGCAGTTGTGTGCGCGCGCACGCGGGCATAGAAGTGCTCTATGCTTGTGTAATATGTGCGTGGAAAAAGTTCATACACGGGAAAAGGAGGGCATACACGCGTGTATCAGCGAGAAGAAAAGGAAAACAAGAGTCAGGGTTGTGGATTTGTAACAAGTAGTACAGCAATAAGTTAAGAGTCCCTAACCTTTTCATTGTTTCAAATTTGGAATCAGACGTTTTTCAGCATTGGTTTCGTTCCCTTTTATGCGAGTATGAATCTTACTGATCAAATTTTATTTACCGTAAGGTCGAATTCGAATAGAAATGTAAAGGCTAGGGATCAACACCGTAACCTACGAAATAAAAATGGACGAGAAGGGACAGAAAAAAAACGTGTAAGAAGCAAGAGGGCGGATAATAGCAGCAACAAACAGGTGGCACACACAGAGCGAATAAAAAATGTCGGGTATACAGTGAAACGTAAACAGAACAAGTAGAAAGAGAGATAGAGAGATAAAGAGAGAGAGAGAGAAAGAGAGAGAGAGAGAGAGAAAGAAAGAGAAAGAAAGAGAGTGTGTGTGTGAGAGAGAGAGAGAGAGAGAAACAAAGGCAGAGAACAGAGCCAGAAACTCTGTATGTATGTGTGTCTGTGTATATACGTGTGCATATGTATGTTTCATGTATAGTTGGGTAAATGTAGAATAAAGACAGTTATAGACAGATACAGACAGACAGACAGACAGATAGATAGAAATAAGATAAAGATTTAGTGAAAGTGAGAAAGATAGAGCAGAGAGGAGCGCTTACAGCTTGGTCTGTCGAACTCTTGCTGTAGGGTACTG